ACTCTCCCTCTCTCTCTCAATATGTTTCCAATTATGAATCTTGTGAATATCACAGCAGTGCAGAGTCTTTCTGATTTATTTCGTGCAGCCTCGTTCTGTGCATTTGCAAACGACGTCCTCCTGTTACAGCGGTTAAAGGTCAGACATACAAAACAGTTGACCTCTTCCAGACTCACGTGCACCAGAGCACCTCAGGCCTGACTGACAGGCAGGGATGACAGCCAACGCCACAGGGTGAGAAAAAAAAAATCTGCTGCCACTTCACGCTGCATTAGAAAATGTTTCAATGAAGAAACACAATGAAAAGAGAAACAAACGCAAGAGTAAATAATCATTTAAAGTCACTAACATTTATCTGACAGATGGCCTTCGCCCATTTTTTTTTTATTTCCTCTGTAACAGTAGAGCCCCTTTGTGGTCTTGTGGCATGGCAGAGCTCAGGCCATGTATTTGTAGTCATCAGCTAACTCCAAGTCAAGCGGACTGAAAACACATGCCTGACAAGTGAGTCACAGAACACAAGAGATCTCTCAAGACATTGGTGATGCTCTGCCTGAGAAACAACATATCCCTACAGACTGATGTCCTAGCTGTCCCAGCCCACTTCCTGTTTCAGACTGAGTTATAGACATCAGACCTCCATACAAAAACACTTGTGTCATTGGTTTTTTGGCAACTGTAGGAAAATACAGTTCTCCTTCATCATCACAGCAAAGACCAAGCAGTTTGAGTGTGTGGCATGATTAGCCTACAGTGAAGGCTGCACACTAAAACTGTGTGTTTTCTTGATTTACACATTTTCACATTGGGTTTTGTGGTCACCTCCCAGCAGATGTGAATCCTCTGCCTCTGGTATGGTCTCTGTTGAAGGGTCTTGAGGGGATTCTCCAGGCATTTTAATTCCCCACCGGACCTAACACCTTTCGCACTGGATAAACACAACACAATGGGGGAAAATGAGTTTTATGTTAGAGGGCTGGTTATCACATGCAGGAAAAGAGGACTCTCTGAATCCCCCGGGAAGCTCTACCCTCATAAATCATCCAGCAACGAAAGTTTCCTCTCCAAACAGGGGGCTAAAACAAACTGAACATGGAGCCCATCACCTGACCTCACCCTCATCCTTCACTCTCCTCTTCCTCTTCCTGGGAGGAATTTTTATGAGGAAAGAAGAGATGAAGTGGTTGAGGACTACGCCGGGGCAAAGAGGCACATACGGCAACATCAATCCTTTTCACTGACCCGAAACTACAATCTAACATTATTTGAAAGGGATTTTAAACAGGTTCCACAAACAGCAGGAGGACGACTACAAATGTAACACTGTAACTGGGAACACATTGAGAACAAAGGAGAGTCCTTGAATGTATGACGATCTGAGGATCCAAAAACTTGGTATTTTTTTCTGACTACATCTAATGTTTTCAGAGATGCTCTGATGTTTGACCACAGACTGACATTTTACAACTCCAAATCTAAGCAGAGTTGATTATTTATTTGTTGTATTTTTACAAAGTCTTTCATAACCTTCAGTACACAAAGAGAAAACACAACTATATTTGTTTCTGATTGTTCTTTGACATGTATGGGTTTTTTTTCCAGGAACAGAAACCAAAGCTGCTTCTTTACTGTAAAGTATCTATATGGTCTTCTCTGAGCCACCAGAAGGGCTGGTCTTCAATCTCGTGTTAATACCACTTATATGCGGTGTGACACAGGCGTGATGGAGAGAGTAAACCACCAGGATCAGGAGCTGCTGCTGTTGGCCAACAGTAACACTTAGCAGCTGTTAAATACTCACAGAACCTGACCTGAACCACTGCACACACTTCTGATGGGACCGGTGTGTGTGTGTTGGCATTGACATGGCTACTGCTACTGCTGCTTACTCTCTGATCAGCAGGTCAAACACAAATAGTGCCTAAAATACCAAGGACACACTGTTTTAATTTAAGGGCCTGACCTTATAGTCATGTCAAATTTGCCTCAGTCAACACTGAAGAGTTTGCAGTTTGAAGTTAATGTTAACATAGTCAATGAAAGGTCACAGTGTTAGAGTTGTGTACAGGCGCTGCTGTTGTATTAGCACGACAGGAAGATGAATTAATTATACATTTCAAAACCTATTAAAGGTAAAATGTTGCACTAAAAGTAATTACAATCAGTGTGAATGAAGCTGTTCATGCGTGTAACGCAAATATCACAGGCGCCTCCGCGAAAGTTCTTTGAAACAAATATATTTTAAGGCGGTCGAGGGAAGTGCAGAAGGACTGCCACTGCCCTCTTGTGGTTAAACAAAATTACAAGCCACTGCATTCAACTCCTCACTTGTGACTCTGGATAAAGGATTGTGTTTATAAAAAGGCTGCATACCTTTTAGTTCCTGTGTACTTCAGCCGTCATCATTGTAATTCTTAATAGTTCTCAGAATAAACAAAGCTACTAAGAGAGCTACTTTAGAGACGACGCGCCCTAATTCACTGCATCAGTTAGGCTAATTGGCTAATCTGCTGCAGATGCTGTAGGCACCGCCCCCTGCCGTTACCTAATCCTCCAATTAACCCAATGGCCCCGAGATAAGGATTCCCGTTAAACCTTCTAGACATCCATCCATTTTCACCCGCTTATCCGTTACCGGGTCTCACGGGCAGCAGTCGCCACCCAAATCACATTCCCCCCTAAACCTTACTGCGGGTGGTGAGTCCACTGGACGGTACCAACCACCCTAACTTGCCCAGGAGGTGAACCCTGGGGTTCCACACCAATGACAGAGGCATTACCTCTGGGCCAAAGCGCCACCCCGTCTAGACATCTTTCTTCATATTTATGTACATTAATTAATCATTAATACATCGATTTTTTTTTCATTCACTGATTTAAATGTGCTACAGGTGAGGCCTAAACCATGGTCAGTACAAATTATAACTCAGAAAACAGTTGTTTGAGGAAATGGCTTTCCTGCAGTTAGTTACATTAGGTGTTGATGAACAGTTATAGGACAAGTCAACTAAAGAGAAGAAAAGAAGTATGTGCTCACACATGTATATATATAAATATATATATATATACATGTATACACATATATACACATATATACATATATGATGGGAGGGAGGTTTATGGGAAGGTGCCTTTTTCTGCTTTTAAATATTTATGTTTCAGTTTGGTTGTGACTCCACTGGTCAGTGTTGTCTGATTATACTTGATTGCCCTTGGCATACATGCCACATGAAAGAGAAGCGGACAGTTCTGGTTTTATTTGAGGTGACTGTAATGAGCTCCGGTATATGGTAATGAGGCAGTGAAACTAAAATAAGGTCGACTGGCTGCCTCAAACCTGGACCACAAACATATTCATACATTTCCAAGATGGTATTAGGAATGTCTGGCAGGAAGTCCTGCTCTGTTTCATTGACATAGCAATCACAGCCATGAACTAAATCATTAGATAAAGATTAAATACAGTTTTAAAGACTAAATTGCAGAAATATGTGTGTCTTGCAGTTAAAGAGGTGTTGGTTAAACCCTCTTCCCCTATAATTTGCTGACCAACAGAGTAAAACTGTGACAGAAATAAAAATTATTATAAAACTTCCTTTGGTAACAAATAAAGTAACAGAGAGAGACAAACAGATAAGGAACACGTCCGTTACCGTGGTTCGAGGCCAGTTTGCAGTCTAAGTTCAAACTTGGTTAATTTTTTAAAGTTCTGTGATGGTCAGTATATACTTATAATAGTTTGAGTAAAAGTATGGAGCCTACATTTTGTTTTAAAGTCCAGACACAAATGATAATACAGTCCGTCTATAAATAAACGCCTCAACCACAGGTAAAGAAAAATAAAGACAGGGAATGTGTCACTCTTCAAAACTAACTGACAATATACTGCACACACGTATTAATTTGTCCAGAGGTACTTTGCTGGTTTAGTAACATCTAGTGGTAAGTATATGTCACTTCATCGTTCCTGTTCAAATATGTTGGAGAGCATCGAGCTGTCGTTAACTGTGGCTAATGTTGAAAACATGGTGATGTCCATTGAGAAAACCTACTACTGATATTCATTAAACAAAGTCATTATCGTTAACATGCTCATGTTGGTTAATGTATTTATATCATGTTGTAAAATTTAAGTTAATATGTTATTTGGTTATTTTATTTCGACAAGAATGTTCTGAAGAAGGCGGAAGTTTAGCATCGAAACAGTTAGCACAGGTATTTACGCGAACACGCTTGTGTTTATATTAAATTTATAGAAAATAATTGCGCTCTCGCAGTTTCTCTACTGTTTCTGGAATTAACTATCAGAACATAACATCAAAACAATATTTTCACTTTTTTTACCTTTTTAAAATTAAAATATTTGCTACATTAGGATTGGTAATACATTTTGTTTCATTTTACCTCCCAAACAAGTGCGTCATCCTCCTGTTTGATTAAAATTTAACTGACTACTGATTGACTATGATCAACAGTAGCATCAACAACAATGACAAAATGAAGATGGCTGTTACACTGTTGTTGACTGGATATTTTCTGTTTTATCTTTTCTATTTATCTGTTTTGCTTTGGTTGTCACTGTCTCATAGACAAAATTATTTGTTTATCTTTTTGACAAATTATTATCAGTGTACAGTGGATGATCTAACATGGTGGTTGGGAGGCACTGATTCACTGCACATAATGGTTTAATTTCTTTAGTTTGCACACTTGTACTTTAACTTTTTTTAATGATTTAATTTTCAACATTTTCCTACTGAAGTGTACTGAACATGTTTGCACCACGCAACAGTGACAAGGAAAACAATGAAAAATAGTCCATGTTTTTTTACATTTGTAAATTAATTAACACAAATATGCAAAGAGCCAAATTATCCTACATTTTTTTCATTTTTTAATAATAAATGGAATCCATGTCATATTTCAATATTTGAAATGTGGAAAGGGTGTAGTGGGGAATAAATAGCAAATAAAAAAGAATAATTACCAAATCAGAAATGTTGACATTTCTGACAAGTAAGTTATTTTTAATGTTTGGTGGGAAATGTTTTTTACAGAGCCTCACTTAAAAAACAAAACAAAACACATATCTAAATAACAAAGAACATCTAATACAATTGAAACGACCCAAAGATGTGAAAACCGTTGAAGAGAAACACAGTGATTCCATATGCCATTAATGTCACTGGAGAATTAACAACCTAATACAAATGCCTACACTGACTGTACAGTTCACCACCTAAAACCACAGAGGCTAAAAGCCACTACTGCAAAACACGTCATCGAACACAGTTAGAAAAAAAGTTTCAGAAGTTTCAAGCTTGGGAGGGGTCGTGACAAACTACAGGCTCACATGCTTACGAATGCATTTGAAAAGAACATTTAGTATGTACACACGCACTCACACACACCATCCACACATACACAGAGCATATATAATACAGCATTAAAGAATAGTGGCTGTAGAAAAGGGAGGAGTGTGTTACAGTATACAGTATGTTGGAGGGGTCGGGGGGGATTAACAGCCAAAGTATACATAAAACACTTTTTTTTTTCAACATTTATGCCAGCGTTACTTATAAATATTCTTCATCCAAAAGTCAGTGCAGTGCCTTCTGCTCAGGCGTCACCTGGTCCTCATGCCTGGTCAATTTTACAACCAGTCTGTAGCAGACCTGGTCCAAAAGTTACTGTTTCTAAGCAAACATCTTTTTACATCAGTTTCATGTCTGATCGTTTTTATGGGTTTGTCTTGTTTGTGATGGCATGCGAGTGCATGTGTGTGTTTTTATGTTTTTGATCTCCAGTACCTCAAAAGTCCAGCTGTGAAGTACGAGAGTTAGTAAGTGTGTCTGCCTGCCTATCAGCCAATAGAGAGAAAATCCAACAAATTTACAAATGTCCGTTTTAGTTCATCTCCAGAAATCCCTTTCTTTTAATCTAAAAAAAAAAAAAAAGTTTCTTCAAAGATGGTCCAGCTCTACTGGATTCCCCTGAAGAGACACATTGCAAAGACCATGGCAAAGAGCTGAAAGAAAGAAAAATAAATAATTATTGACACACGACAAGCACTGACAGTTTAATAAATGGTGACATATACAATTATAAAGCTTCGTGAGAATCCTAAAACTACACATAGATTTGCCATAAACTGCACATACAAAAGACTATTTCATCCCCATTCAAATGATGCTGATTTTTGCATGTTTAACTTTTTGTCTTTTTCATCCAACACCCAATTGTATCCATGACAAGCTTTAAAGTAATCCCTGTGTTTGTGTTGATCTAAGGTGGACTTATTATTTAACACATTGGTTCAAATATGAAATGACTTTAGTACCACAATAAGTGAAAACTATTAGAAAATAAGTGAACATGAAACACCATTTTGTAGCCAAGAGCTTTTTTTCTTGCAGTCCGACGTCTGACCACTAGATGGTAGACTTGTCAAACAAAGTCCATTTGCAAAACAAAGCAAACATTTCCTCAAAAAATAACAAAGGACACAAAAAAACTGTATATTTGTTATGGTAAATAATATAATAACAATGACAAAAATCTTACCTCTATGGTGAGAACCACAATAGCGAGTGCTCCGGCCACATAGATATACAGTTCAAAGTAGTCAACTACAGCAGAGTAACACCCCTGAAAACACACAAAAACATGAAGCGCACATCAAAAGTAAAACTGCACTGATAATTTGGGGGTGAACAGTCACTGCAGAGGCTTTGATAAAATCTCTTATTATGTCAGAACAGAGATTCTTATTGTGAATATCTGCCATTGTTCTAGCTGTTGGAGAAACAACAGGTTGCTGGAAAACCTCGTATCACCTTTCACTGCAATTATACTTCATTCCATAGCTCCGTTTACACAGAGAGAAATGTATATACATATACATTTATGGTCTGACAAAGTATTTTATAATTAGTATCTCTCATCTGTGCTCAATTCACCCATATATTGTATACAAATGCTGTACATCACTACACACACATGTGTGTGTGTGTGTGGTGATGCCCACACACTCTTCACACTGTACTGAAATGGTCTCCTATGACAACCTAACATGAAATAGAACTAATCAGCCATGGAGGAGTCAGCTACAGTCCCTGGGTGTCATCCCTCAGCTGCCTCCTGCTCTAATTATGGCTAGAGGTGGTTTGAAAGGAGGGAGGAGGAAAGATACGGTGGGAGGAGGTCAGAGGGAGAGAGGGAGGGAGGGAGTGAGAGAGACAGAAGTTACCTTGTTATGGCGAAACATCATATTGCCTGATAAGCACTGCTCCTTGCTGATGTAGGCCAGCTCCTCAGACTGAGTGGCACGCAGGCAGCAGGCTTCTGGCACCATATGATTTTGGTTGATCAGTCTGAACAGGCTGTCCTTAAAATCCTCCGGGCTGTTCACACCACAGCAGTCAAACTGGAGAGGGTAAGACAGAGAGGACAGTCTCACTGTACCTGCTAACAGCAGTCAAACTGGAGGCAGGAGTGAGAGAGAAAATACACTCCTATTACAGGCTGCCAAGGTGATGCAGGGGTGGGAGTTGAGAAGTGAAACAATCAGGTCATGTGGTCATGGTCTTCCAGTGTGCACTGAGAATGTTTCTTTGTGTGCATAGATTTTCTGTCCATTTCTTGTTATGTTTTATATGTTATAGAGGTAGTATAATCCTCCTTGAGGGTGTATAATGTTGAAAGTACTGCTAAGATATAAAATATTTTAAGAAAAAAATGTGAAAAATACAAATACTATATATACGTTTATATATATATATAGTTAAGTTATATTGGGGCCATTTAAGTGCTTTCAAATGAAATGAATGATCAAATTATCCAGGTAAAACCTTTTCCTTTTCCCTCAGAAAAAAATGGGAAAATATGTCATGGTCTAATCAGTTATCCATTTGAACTTTTAAGCCTGGTTCTTCAAAAGACATGTGGTCCAAAAATACCATCGCACATCACTTAAAAGCACTGTAAGTATGGTGGTGAGATCATCCTTTTGGATAGAGTAGGTAAAATATGAGCAGTTTTGGCAAATGTTTTGAAGGTCAATACCTTCACCCTTTAGAAAAACAGTCGCCTTTTAGCAAAGTTTCTATGCTATTTTTCAAGCCATTAATTTAGATATTTTGAATTATTTCATCAGTGGTTAGTAGACAACTTATATAATGCATAGGACATGGTGAATTATTTGTCTCTCCATGAGTGCAGAACGACCGGGTGGTCAGCTGGGATTGCAATGTAACCCTCAAAAGATAAGGCCTGCAGCTAATGGGTGGTGTTGGGAGGTAGAGTGCACCGTCTGTGTTTCACCTTGTTTAAGCAGCAATCCAGCTCAGAGACTGAGTCCAACTGATGTCCAAGTCTTTATTTCTAAAATAAATGTCTGTCATTTATGTCTGCTGAAGCCACAGTGTGTGTGCCACGGGTCTTACTGTGCTCATGATGGCGTTCCACGTGGAGGTGAAGACATCAGTGTTGTTGTAGCCCTGATAATGTCTTTTCAGTTCCCTGGTGAAGTATTCCCTGGTCAGCTGAAGCAGAGGACACATTGTTCATAGTACTATAGTTAATATATGTTTCCTTCAAAACAAGAGGACATGACTAAAAACAAGAGCTATACTAAGAAACTTAAATATAAGCTAGCAGCAGGTATTCTGGGTATTTTTACCATTCAATACGTGTAGGATTCTTTGGCTCAATGCAAAGCAGAACTGGACTTAATATTTTTTATCTTGCTTTGTTACACACACACACACACAACCAGACCTCAATGGTTAGTGCTCAGTCATGTTCACATCATTGGCTGGATTTAAATCTGGTTGAAACTGGTTCCTCTGAGACTGCAGCTTAATCGAACAACTGACTAAACTATCTGTTTAGGAAAAAAACCCAAACAAACCTTGGAGAACCAGTGTGGATAAACAACACAAAACAAATGAGCAGATAATTCAAGAGAATCAACCCTGGAGGGACAGGGAGACCAATAGTGTTCTGGAGGCTGATTTCTGAGTTCTGTTGCAGACACAACACCGTCTCTGATGTCCACAGTCCACAACATCAGAGTTTGACCTTATCACCTTGTGTTCTTGGCAAAAGAAAACGTGCAACAACCTTTGTACCAGTAAACCAAAATCAAATGTGTTATTTCTAAAGCATTACTGTGAACAAACCTATAGTACTACAGTACACACAGTATATACACCCAGACTGATCAAAGTGGGGATGACTATAATTCAAACTTACATGCTCCCTGAATATGAAGGCCAGGATGGCAGCAGCCAACTCTGCTAAGAAGATGAGGAGGATGAGCATGAAGAACTGCAACAACAGGACATAAAAGATAAAATGAGGAAACAGTGTGAGAAGGATTAACATAAACAAAAATACATGTTAGTCAGTAAACAGTGTAAACACATTCTGCTCATTCCACTCCACATTAACTATACATGAGGCTCTGATCAGGAGGGGAAATTAAAAAGCACATTTGCTTTTATGGCTTCTGTTTCCAGCTCCACAGATTAATCAACAGGAACAGACACTCATGAACAGAAGAGAATCATGTTGTCACACATTTTGACTCACAAAGAGAAGCAGACACTTGTTCTCACGGATCGCTCCACAGCAGCCCAGGAAGCCCAGGAGGAAGAGCATTCCTCCCATGCCCAGGATGACGTAGACGCCGGTGAATAACAGAGGGTTGGCGGCTACAATTTCCCTGAACCCGGTGGGGTCCACCAGCACCCACACTCCTACTCCCAGGAGGAATGAGCCCCCCAGCTGGAGAACAGACAGAACACAATGAAGAGGCTTTAGGTAGAAAATACAACAAAACAGAAAGTGGCTGCACCCTATGAAAAAAAAAAAAATCAATCAATCACAAAATAGCTGAATAATTTATTCATCATGAATAATCAAAGTAAATAGTTATTCCTAAATATGAAAAACATTTTTCTGTATATTGCAGGATCAGAAAATCAATACTCAGCAGGCAAATGTTTGTCTGTGTAACTATTCCAAATGATGGAAATATTACAATAAAGTGTCAATAATAAAGTGTGTATCAACTATGTATTAAAGTAACAGTGGGGAAAAGAGCAAGATAAAATCAGAGTTCAAAACGTAGCAAACTGCAGAGTGGAGAGAAATGAGTACTGTTAATAAGTTCCAGGAGAAACCTGAACCCAACTCTGCGGACATCCAGTGTTAACGTTATTCCCCCTTCATGTTCAGTGAGACAGGAATAAAGTTTGTACTGTCAATTATGTCTTCCAGAGCTCAGTGGATGTATTTGAAGGTCACTTTAAAAGCACTTCACTGAAATGAAGCAGAAGCTTTAATAGTGAGTAATAAAGTAATGAACCGGTCTGTGCCTGCTGTGGCAGATTGAAATCACATTTCAAAACAATTTACAACGTTAAACAACGGGTTTAAAGCTACACCTTTTTTTTTTTTAGAAAAATTGTGTTTGTGTCTGTGTCTACTGAATGGCTGCAGGTTTGAAAAGATTACATGTATATTCTAGAAATGTGCTTAGTGTAACATAACTGATGCAACACAAGGATTTTGAAAAAAAAAAACAAACAAAAAAAACGCGATTTGTCACAGTGTCATAAAACACATTTGTACAGTGTTTTTAACAGCACATAAGAGCCTGGAGAACTTTAACACAAATGTATGCCTGAGACTAAATGCTAGATATTTCTAAAAATTAGATATGAAAAATCTGACCTACACAGAGTTGTGGACGCTGTTTATAAAAAGCTTCATGACTTGGTGAGAACCATGTGATTTACGTTTTGGTCTCATACCAACAGGCTGAGGAGAGATTTACGGACATGATGCAAATGTATCATGTACTGAAGCTGATGGGGATTAAACTGGATATATTTGAATATATATTTAAGTTGTCTTTCTACTGCCATCAGCTCCATCAGCCTGAGTACAAATTACCCTGCTGTAATAACTCACTGTGGTATAGATAAATAACAGTAAAACAGGTTTTTTTTAAAACAGCTAAATAATATATTTGATCAGTATGTTAGCTATTCCTATACCAGTAAGTAAGTAACAGTTGATGTTTTCCTTCAACCAAACCAATATTGATATAATATTAGACAAAATGAATAAAGGAATATGGTATTTTAGCTCACATCTTCTTGCTTATGTGGCTAAGATACTTTAAACTGCTTGGAGCTTTGGCTACAAAATCTGTGCGTTTACTTTTTGTACTTGGAATTAGTATTTTGTACTTTATATTTGTATATCACCTGCAGTTCCTCAGACTGGAATGTGTGAAGGTCAAGTAAAGCAGAGTCTGTTAATGCTATTTTTTTAATTCGTTATTCCATAGTAAACTTCCCATATAAATCGATTGCAACAATAAATTAAGGCAAATTAAAGACAGTGCTTGTGACACAGTGATGTTGAAAGCTGAGGTTACTTTCTGCTCCAGTGGTTGCATTATTCCCTCGTTGCCTTTAACAGACCCATTTGTGAGGAATCTATAAACGGGTTGGTTGTGCTTCATAAAGCAGAAAAGAAGAGACGAGCCTTCTTACTGTGACCCTCCCCCCTTCACAGGCCCAAACTAACAGGATTACTCTTGATTGTCTGATCAGGGCTGATAAAGTCAGGTGCCAGTCACAAAGTCCACACAGCCCGGTGTGGCTCAGATGTGTGTCAGCACACCGAAATCCAATCAAAAGAGAATGTGATAGAATCAAGAGTGCCTCCTTCTAATGAAATGCAAATGTGGCTCCATTAGTGGGCGCTGCAGAGGGTGGCCAGGAGCCCATCTAAAATCATTAGACTGACACTAACTCCACAGATAGCTGAAGTCAGTGTCTCTGAGGGACAGATGAGAAATACTTACAAAGATGAGGAAATTGAAGACAAACATGAGGTACTTGATGCAGCTGAGACAGTCGCCCTCCATACTTGTCCCACGTGCTGAAGCCTCTCCCTGCCCCTGGGAAAAACAATAACAAAATTGTGAATGAGATTCGGATATTATTATTTCCATCCGTTTGTCTTGGATAGGCACCAAGAAAAAAAAAACACACTTAAATTTGAACAGGTTCTGCCAGTCAAAGAGACATATACACACCAGTGAGAGTCCTTCTGGTTCACTTTTGGTACATTTGGATTTAAAGGCCGGCCCATTTAATTTTGAATATGCCATGTCATAGTCAGACAGACTGGTGACTTATCAACACTCCTAATCTCTGTTCAGATGAATCTCCCTGGTATCACTGTGGCTGAAGGGCCCGTCTGTGTAAGCACCTCTGTGGCTGGGCTGCCTGTGCACTGACAGACGAGGCAGGGCCTTTAACATGGACGCTCTTCTTTAATGTAATGAAAGACAGGGCCCCTCTGCTCACATCAGGCAGACCACTGTCTGACAGAAACACAAACACTCTCCCTGATGAAGGGCTGGCCTGGAAGCACTCCTGCTTAATGAAGAACGCCTCCGGTGCATGAGGACAGGACGCAGCATGCTTGTCTCTGTCCATGACCCTCTTCACCTTTATATAAGGCTGCACATGAAACAGACTCCCCTGTGAGGCACATAGGAACTGGTTGGCTGTTCATCTTTACTGACACTGTGCAAGAACTGCAGCAGGAACAATGTGCCGAGCAGCTAACACTGTAGTCAAGGTGAATGAAGCTGAAACAACAACAATGTGCTTCATCTGTGGATTATGAATTTGCTCTCAAAGAGTAATGTACCTGGATGAGGGTGGTTAACAAAAAACATGATTAAAAAGTCATCTCTATTAAAGATTGCTAATAGATTTAGATGATTATACCAGTGGTTTTTAAAGTGGGGACCACCAGGGGGCGCTATTTGGCCTCAGAAAATTGGAGGAAAGATAGGGAAAAAAATCGAATTATTTTTTAATTCATTGTATAACTATTTGTCCTGAAAACTGCTGTAATTGTCAGATTCTTAAGTGTTCGATGGAACCTGAATGCACCTCGTGTGTCAGCTGCAAATTTGTTATCACAGTGCTCTGCTTCTCAAGCCAGCGTCTAGCTAGCTAGTGCAGGTTTTTGACAAGAAATAGATGGAAGGAGCAGACCAAACAGTTATTTAGTTACTGTTGCTAAACAAATGTAATAATTATTATTGAACAGTAAATAAGAGTAAGAAAATACATTCAAAAGTTTATCTTTATGGTTTTTTGTTGTTTTTTTGTTTTTTTTTTACATATTTTGTAGCCGTTAAGGTTTTGCAAAGGAGTCCTGGCCAGCAGCTAATGCTGTTTTAGGTGCCCTGCCCCTGGATTACACGACCAGTCGAGCATGAAGATCTCAGCTCAAAGGAGTTCATCTTCTTATATGTAGTTGGATGCACTTTTTGTTCTGTTATATTCCAGATGTATTTTGTTGTTTGTCTAACACTTGATAGATGACTAGAGGAAAATCTAAACTTACATCAAAATATGTGGGCTAGCCAACGCACAACAACAATCGAAACATATTTTAACTGTAAATTGTTATGTCTAAGCAAGATTAGGTGTTAAATATACACGCTGTGGTTGAATATGCCTCACAGAAAAGGGAAACAATAACACAGTGTTCCCTCTTGTAGGCCACAGTTGGGGAAACCCACTCCAGATATAAATTTAATGGGTCATTCTGGGGCAATGAAAACAACAATTTATACTGTGAGGTGAGCACACATATATAAAAGTGTCTGTAAGATGATTTACAGATCCCACTTCTGCCAGCAGAAATAGGATATGAAATAACTTGTAGAATTTAAATCATATGAAACACAGACAATCCAGGAAGTTTATGTTGAAACAAACCATTTCAGTGTGAAAGTCTCAAAGACTTCAGATTTCACTATCACTGTAATGTATAAACACTATATACTGATAGCAAATCACGGATTACAATATAAATACTGAAAAACCTTTTTCCCCACAAATAAAACATTAACATTTAATGATTTAATAATGATTAATGATGTGTGGTTACAGCTGCCATGATGGTAGATGACACAGGTGCATGGCTTTTTTAAACCAACCTAAGTTTGAGTTCAATCACTGGACCACCCCAGCCCCAAACACTGATAACAATAATTGACTCCCTTATTTGTACCACAATGGGGAAACTACAGTGTTAGTCTTTGTAATCGACACAGGCTGCCACAGGAGGCGCCGTTAAGTATGTGATTACAAATCACAGGCTGCCACATGGGAGATGCCATTAACAATATGTGGTTTCTCTGGGAATCAAACCCAGGACCCTCTGCTCTCTGTTTGCAAAGCAGGCGTGCCTGCTGTAACTGATAACAATTCATGTCTTATACGCTGTGCCATCCACTAGATTCTTGTATAAATAAATATAAGCGCCCACAGCATCTACTCTCTTCTATTTTCATAGTGACATAGTTGCTTTGTTTTTCATTCCCCTTTACTATCACTGATGTTTTTCTTTTTTTATCTCACAGTAGGAAGCGGTTAGTTGCCGTGACAATAAAATCTAACAATAATGCAGATGTGGGGTCTTTGTCTGCTGTGGGAGCGAGATGGCACACAATGAGAACATTTCCTCTCCTCTGCTGCCTGAAGCTTTTATTATTTTTTTCCCTCCCGTCCTCCTTTCCTCTTCAGACCAAGTGAAATTGATTTAAAGCTGTGGTTAAACACCTCCTCTAAATCATAATGATATGCTTAGGTATTGATCCCATCCTTGTGCTACTCTGAGAGGTATCCAAAGACTAATTGTGCACGATGGGTTTTAATTAAGCACTGTTTTTTTCTAAGCCCCGCAGGTCTAATGAGGGCACTGGAGGTTTCCCACAGAGATTAGCATACATCACAGGGTCAGAGAAAAGCATTAGAAAATGTCCTCTGTTACCACCCCTGTCTTCTGTTCTCAGGTCTGGAGTGCATACAGACCTCTAAACAGCATTTAGTGTTAGAGAAAATGAGGAAAAGAAAGGATGAAGGGGAGGAAGAGACTATATCCAACTTTTTCAGCTTCATCTTTTTACCTCCAAACCTAGGATCAACCCAGATATGAGATCTGTAGCCGACTTCCTTCTAAGCACTAAAACACACTGAGTGCTTGTGACTAAAGTGAACTGTGCGAGCTGGGCTGAGCTGAGCTACCAATAATAAGCCTGTGGTGCACATCGCAGCATGATATAAATCAAAGTGCCACAACAGCCCCAGAGAAAGTGCAGAGTAAACAAACTGGTTGTTCCCATGACTCTCATGGGATTGCAGGTCTTCATCGATCACAGTTGCTGAGATCAGACCACAAGGGCTCTGAATATTCTGTGGAGTGCATTACAGAGGAAGATAAGGGGGAAGTGGTTCACGCCCAGGCGCTTTTATGTTTACATAAAAATCGAAAAAATTCCTTCGGGATTAGCCACTAATATTCCTCAGGTGTGCTGTTCTGCTGCACTTGTGCGCCAGGATAAAAACTTCATGGTGGCACTGTGTGTGTTGAGACTCCCAAAACAAACATTCATTACATGCTTCACACAGCATGACACATATCACAGTAAGCACTCTGCATTTTTTTCTTTTTTTTTGCTGCATGAGACATGTTTGTTTACACACATGGTGTTTGCCAGCGTGCTGTCAGGAATGCTGAATATACGTCCTTAATCTGACAATCTAAGTGGCAGTCTTTGCCCCGAGGTATAAATTAAATGCCAGCTCCATCTTTCTTGTGACTGGGGTGTCCTGTTAGTGGCATCATGAAATGCCAAACGACGCTCCTGTTGACTCTGTAGAGCCGTGGTGTGGTCTGATAGTGCCAACTGATTCTAATGCAAATTCACAGATCTAACAGAGGCCGGTGCCTACTAATGAGGGCAAACTCATCTGACCTACATTCTTCACTCTGTAAGGACAAGCCAGACTGAAACTCTGCTGTGGCCCTCATTCATTTTTAACTCAGAAACCCAGAGGTCTGTTCGACCAGCTACCACACGATCAGCTGAGATGGTCATGACAGCTCACTATAATTAAAAGATAAGAAGACATAAGAGAGCCTCGCAGAAAACACTCCATAAACGCAGCGCTGCCTTCGGTGGTTCCCCTTGAAGTTGACACTTGGGCACGATTAATGAAGCGAGTCCATATTATCCTGCTCCGCTGCACGGACAAATCGAACAGCACGACAAGGACACTGTGTCAGTTCCTCAACACAGCCAACAGTCTACACTTTATCTTCAACACGAGCCTGCATCACTAGTAAGACTTAATACTGGAGCCCTGTAGGGATTATAAGAGGCAGAGCTTAACCAACTTCAAATGTCAGTGACCCATTAAATAGCCAATTGAAAATGAACCCAGGGGACGCCGCAGATTCTTCCCCCGACTCCTGGCTGGAGCAGGTGTGTCATTAAATGTACTGTGCGCAGGTCCCCACCTCTCAGGCGTGTTCTGACAGTGACACACAGGGACCACACACATGCCGCATCAACCTTTATCTCAATTAAAAATCTATTTTCATATTTTTTTTCAATGGCTTCCTGAATCTGCAACGACAGGCAAACACCCCGAGCAACAAATAAAGACAGGCTCCTTTGGCAATGGGGTAGGGGTCCCGGAGGCATACCATGCCCCTTAATGAACCTCCAATTAGTAGAGAATGAGCCCAGGGCTGTGCTGTCACACTGACAGGCTCTGAGATGCACTGACTGCTAACTAGCTTTACTGTTGTATGCAGGTTGAGACGGCGTATGGTGAACAATGGGGAGAAGGGTATAAAAGTAGCTCAAAGGCAACCAAGCTCAGAGTGTGTGTGGGTGGGGCTCACACAGAAGGCAGTGAAGACACAGTCAGCAGGGTCATGGAGAACAGGAAACTGCAAGGCCTGTTGTGAAGGTTAAGATGAAGGTTAAGCCGAGAACGCACTACAAGATCCTACCAACAATTGTAGATAGCCAACACGGCAAGTTTGAACAAAAATCAAACTTGTTTCAATTTTTTCAATCAAATCTGTTCACAATAAGTAGGAATGAATTATCGACCCTGCTGCTAACACTGGCACATAATGCCAACAGCCAATAACAAAGAGTGGAGTGGGTGAGACACAGGAAACGTAGTGAAGATCACAAAAAGGATTATCAACAACAAGAGATATAGTCTGACAATAAAGTTGACTTAGAACTCCAAAATGGAGCCACAGAGCTAATGGAACTGTCATGCTTAGAGTTAGCTTTATTTGGTTTGATAAATCAGTAACATATTTATCGAGTTTTACAATTTTCGTATAATTCACCAACATACCAAGAAGGATTTCTTGGTATGTGTAACTGTTCTTGGCCATAGAACATAGTGATTTATGTCGTCCTGCACACATCCGCTGATAGCTAGTGTGTTCTCCGAGTCTTTTCTGAATCTCTAAAGACTGGGAGACTTGTGTAGCGTCTCCGCAGCTTTAGAAACTCCCGGGTGAAGACACTGGAATAGTTGTCCCTCAGGCAGGCTCAGATTAATGAGTTTTCACTTGATGAACATTATCAGCTTCCACACATTATATCCATTGTTAGTTTCACAAAGAACAACTTTCACTGATTAATTTTCCCTGCCATGCAAAGCCATTTATCACTGAAGTTCATTGACCAAATATGTGCTGCACCACTATAGCGGTTCTTTTGTACAAACTCTGCGACCGGTGCAACTCTGACCCAGTCACTTTAGAGGCTGTGTGAATCCCTCCGACCAGGCAGCTGACACACGTCTGAACAACAGGCTGATTAACGGGAGGAGACTGCAAAACGAACAAATGCACAGTCAGATGCACACTGACCATGTGTTGTCAACAGCACTGCGGGCCACATTCTTGATTTCCCGACTGGGCACACAGCCAGCTGTTAGTTCAATGCTAACAGTTGCTGCCAAATTGATCCTCCAGCTCCTTACGCAGAAAAGACTGGCCGAGGGAAGGCCATTGATGACTTGTGATAGAGATGAAACGATCTCAGCTCCTGTTAATACACTTTATCTGAATGGGTGTGTGTGTGTGTGTGTGTGTGTGTTTGTGATGCTTACTCCCTCACAAGGCCTCAAGCTCCTTACTTAATTGTGTCGGCACCTCTATCTGGTTGAGTGACGACACAAACTGGCCTCACAGAGCTGGATCAATATCAGGCACAGGCACACAGTCGGTGGCTCATTGATCCCCCTGGAGCTCCAGCTCCCAGTTCTCTGGCTCTCTACTGAGGGCATTTAGTAGCAGCACACAATGAACACATAAACACTTCCTCACAGCTGCTTGTTAGGACTCAGCTCAGGCTTTTCCCACGAGGTGCTTTAGAGGACAACTTGTTGCTGTTGGGGCTTTCCATCCAAATGAGTTATAACTCAATTCCTAACTAAATTCCTAAATTACTGGGTTACGCTTACGATTACAGTGGGTGCTTCTTCATATTTTCCCCTTCTTTGGATTTAGGTATTTTCCCTATAGGCTGTTGTAATCACAGCCAGAAACCTGTATTCACTGTGTCAAAATGACAATGAAAGGAATTGATATTTGTACTTTAATACTGTATATAAATAAACATGTAGGTTATATAGTAATGATTATGAATATTCAGTTCAGTGTTTCATATCAACATACAACGACAATGCCAAATATTTCAATACAATACAAAGCCAGCAGAGGCTTTTGTTTCAAAAACACATACTGCAATATACATTTTAAACTCTATTAAATTACACATTTGGTTTACAGTGCAATTATCAATGTTTTATTCAATTGCATGCATTATATAATGCAGTGTAGGCACAGCAGTTAGCTAAATTTATTTTATTTTATTTTTTAGAAAAACGAGTTTTAACAATAATTTTAAAAATGGTGTTTCCTAAGTTAGTGTTTTTTCTTTCTGTAATGCAATGCTTTTTGTTTTACTTCTATCCACCAACAAAGTTTCCATTAGATTATAAAATATATTAAACAACTGAACATTAAATTAAAGGAAATTACAAATCCTCATTTATTTTTTATAATAGTAAAGCCTTAATGTATTTTTATATATTATAATGATTGGACATTCAATGAGAATTATTTCCAACTAATTTCATAGTCATTCAGTAATTGATCAGACTAAATGAACCAGCACTAGAGCTGGAAATACATTTTTAATGTTACTTTTCCTCTCAGAAGCTTGAGAATTATTGTCTTCATGAAATAAACAAAGTGGAAAATGTATTTGAGGTTAATGTTTGGGGATATTTTTATGCTGGTAAAATGTGCTTTTAATGCTTTTAAGTTGAGGGAGCCTTCTTGGTCAAACCTCCAAGTAAAGACAGCTTACCTGACAGATGGTCTTGGCAGGAGTAAATAAAGGGAGGTTTAAGGAAAAACAACACCTTTAGCCTCAGGGTGTAAACACACAAGGAGCTTCAGAGCATGAACATGTGCTGGGAAATAGTGTTTTCATAAAATTCAGACAAAGAACAAAACCTGTTTAATCAAATTCAATAGTTTTTTTAATTATCCTATTTTTTTAATAGAACGTGTTGGAATCTTCCCAACCCTCCGTTTAAGACACTGGTCTCCACAGCAACCAATATCCATGGTCAGGGTGGCCTTTGTCTGCAGAGCAGTGTTTGGAATCTCCACTTAGCACCAGTTCCTGTTAGAAAACAAAAGGGTGCAGAGCCAAGCACTTTACGACAGAGGAGCAGCTTGGCCAACAACCATTTGTCTAATGAGCGATCACTCACACCCTGTTACTGGGCCATATGTTGGTCTGAAAACAGCAACTTCTTCCTTGTAGAGGACCAGGAAGCTGTTTTATCAGTTACTGACCCACTACTAAAAACAAAAGGCACAAACACCTAAAAACCCTTCAGCAGCAGTAGAATCAGCAGGTCAAACAACCAATGTGTTACAGGGCCTGGTTATCAGAGCAAGACCAAACAAAAAAAACTGGGCGGAAAATATTGTGTTATTAAAGTGTGATTCACTGTGGAACTGTTTTTGCATATGAGGCATATTAATTATTTTTCATACTGTTGACTATTTTCCTTTAATGCAACACCAACAGAAATGATGCTATAATTTGATTACTTTGGTTGATTACTTTGGTTGATTAGTCGAGAGGAGATGGATCAAAACATTTATCCTCAAATCTGTAAGGATTTACAAACCTGCAGGAGAGCAAATAATGATAACATGTGGGTCAAAATGAGGCTCAATCACTGGCATGAGGACACATACAGTACTACGTGATGTGATTGCACACACACAGCACGCCGAGGACAAACTGAAGTCAGACTGTAGGTCTGGACAGCATATGGCTGCATTCCTCGACATGGAGTATGTGCGTGTGCTGCACTGAAAACTGTCTCCTGCACTGACTGAGCTGGTGGAAGAGAAAGTATTTACAAGGCCCTTATCCTGCAGAAGTTACTGTGATGGTGATTCATTTAACATATGGCATCATGGGAGAGTAAAACACTCTCGATGCTAAGCTGATGTAAGATAATGATATTGTGAAGAAATAATTGGAAAGTGTTTACGCTGAACAAACTACAACACCTGTACTGGGTGGAGCAGAGAGTGACTCATCTGGAGCAGATGTTGAGTCCAGATTCTTCCATAGACAAAGACAAAACACTCCAAGGGAACAAATGGTCTAGAGTTCAGTTTCCTTACGTTTACAAATCGCCTAAAGGATGTTGCTGTGTTTGCATCACAAACCTGAGCCGGTACAGCACAGAGCACAGGGCTGCTGCAGTTGCAGGAAAAATAAAGTTGATTCATTGCTTGAATCTTGAGTGTTTTAATCTGGATGAAGGTCAACTCGCTCAGACGAAAAGCTTTTTTATTCTTTCAAACTGGCAGTTTGTTTGCAGCTGAAAAGTTGTATTTGTAGAAAAACTACAACTTTATCATCATTATTTTATACGTCACTTACATATGCATACGTCTGGATGTCTGGGTTTGTGGTCATGTGCTATGACTGATTATAGTGGATGTGTCTGGGTCTAAATTCCCCTTTAACCTTTAAATCTATACATGTCTGCTGCTCAGTCGTGCCTGGAATACTAATGGTGGAAATACCAATGAAAGTCGGGGGCTAACAAAGACCAGTGCTGGCCTGCTGTGTTGGTAAATGAACAAAAGCTCTCATCTGCCTGTTTCACAAGAGCAGTCTCGTGATCCATGCTGCACCGTGTGGACCACAACAATTGGTTTGCACCTGTACTGTCAGCATATTTCTGAAGAAATGTTTGATAAAACACTTTATGTTGTTTTCTACTCTGAAATAAACAAATATTCTACACTGAAAAGTCCACAGTGTTTAAGTAAAAAAAAAATTCATGGTGACGCTTCAGCTTCAAATACTGACAGAAACTACAAACACACACAGAGGATAAAAATGTATTCTTTCAAGTCCATGTGGGCTTCACTTCAAGGAAAAACAGAAACATACCATGTGTATTTGTGGCGTCTCTCCTTGGCTCAGATGAAGCTGATGACTTCTCTCTGTTTTCTCTGCTCTCCTCTTGTCATGGGCTGTTGGACAAAGACACAAGGGAAGAAGCAGAGGTCAAACCTGAGATCATGAGAATGAAAAAAAGAGAACGGAGAGCGCCACATTTATCTTGCTATGTGGGATTCATTTGAGCAGAAGAACACCATGAGCTGGAAAAACAGAAAATAAAATTGTGGGACACTTATAACGAGCGAGGTTGCATCTATTATGTATGAGGCAGTCACTTCCAGCAGTGAAGCTAATCCAAGAGTGCCACAGTGTTTTATCCCTCTGAATATTTCCCTTCCCAGCTACAAAGAGACATTTTCTGAGCAAGTTAGAAAATAGATTGCTTTTCATGACAGAGACACAGGCCCATATTCCCAATGAGGAAATTTAAATTTTGTGTCATTTTTTTTTACTATAATATGCACAACTTCTCAGTTAATTATCACTTATTACAAGTTTTAACATCCCAGATCTATGCAGCTTTCCATATGACCTTGGTGAGTGCCTGAACTAATGCAAGCATAAATTGTATTCCCTCCACCAGATTAGTGCCTTTATACAGAATGAGGATTCTGTATGGAAGCTTTTCACAAAAAGCTTTTAACCTTTCTACCTGTTTCCCTGGAGCTGAAAAAAAGTGAAATAAACCCAGTGTCAATTAAACTGCTGGTTTTCCAGCCACTAAGTCCAAAAATAGTAAACAGTGCATTTTTGACTGACAACAACTTGGAGCTGATTTCAAAGCACTGGCGGTGACAACTGCAGCATCAAATGTGGAGAGGGCTGCCAATGCAGGCATGAACAATATGCATCTACATGCTGTTTCACTGGCAGGATTTTCTGCTGGAGCTGCAAAACCTCAGGAGCATTCTGACTAACAGAGCCAACCACATCATCCCACCGACACACCATAATACCAGCAGACAGTAGATTCACTGGGATGAGGAGCCCAGCTGACAGGGCCAGCCACACATCCACCCCGCCCCCCCGCCCCTCCAAACACAAAATACATTTCATCTGTTTGCATCTCAGAAAGCATTTCAAGTCAGTAGGAGGTGAGGTCAGCGTATACATCAGAAATGTCCAGAGATGACACTGTCCTTTATCACAGCCTTGAATTCACACATCGCAGGGAAAGTTTCAGGACATTAATAACATCTCTGCACAAGCAGGGGAGGCAAAATTACATGCATTTCGTTCAAAAAGCAATTGGTACAATATTGGCCATATGGTTCGGTGAGCATGTCCCTAGAAAACACTACACTGTAATCCCTGTTCATTTTCCTGTCAGGCAGCAGCAGCAGAAACATACATAATAATCCAGTAGCTAACAGCCAGGTGCTCAGATTTGCCCCGGTGCCTGTTGCAGAGGTAGTCTATTGTCAACCACTGTTTAGACAGATATTAGCCAGTGCAGAGCAACAGTGCTAAGGGTCTGCATTGTATTTGGTTTCCATGGAGAACATTTTTCATGAGAAAAGAGCACCAATAGGATTGCAGAGCTCCACTGAATCAGTAATGGGGTGAGAAGAGACAGCAGCACAGGCAGCTGACAGGGTACAACAATAGGCCCAGTCCTCCAGGGAGAGCACGAAGCCCAGGCCACTGAGGGTCCGACGAGAGGCAGGATAATTCAACTCCAGAAAAAGGCTTCCTCCGCATCCACTCGTTGGCTCACCCTTTGAACACGTCTCTCTCATCAACATGTCATTGACATTTAAGCTGAAGAGCACTGTGGGTAATTTAGACAACCAGTATCTGAGCTGTTGTTTCAGGTCATGACAGCATTATTGCATCACTAATATCATATCCCTGACAGTAGTGCATCAACATGCCTTTCACACTGAAAAGTACAGCTCATTTTTCAAATAGTTCCAGTCCAATAAAACCGCAACAGTGAGGTATAAGTCAGTGGGAGGCGTCCATGTTGTCTGTCTGTCTCAACAACTGTCTGCTGGATGATAATATTATCTTTCCTTGATTGTGATTAAAACATTCCTTCAGGAACGTGAGGTCATAACATTAGCGTAGCCACAATATGCTATACATAAGATGGACATTTTGCAACAAATTATATTCTAGCTCAACCTCTCTTTTCTGGGAAACACCTTTTAGCACCACTGTTTGGAACAAGCCCACAAAAAAAAAAAAAAATTATGGGGCTATTTGTTTCTTACAATGCACAATTCAAGAGTATTGTTGACATGATGGGTGATTTGTGTGGATTTTCTCTGTTAGTTTTGTTAATTTAAATTTCTGCCTCTGTGGGAATTACGCCTTTGTTAATCTTAGCTGGTGACTTGTTTATGTCTTTATGTGTCTGTCACCTCATCCAGGCATCCAGACAAAGACTGACCCTGACTACAATGTCAAAGGTTAGGCGACAGCAGGGAGTGGATAATGGACATGTTCTGTGAAGACAGGAAGTGGACAGGAAAATGTGCGTAAATAAAATGTACACACACACACACATCTGTAGCTCGCATATAGTTGCATGCTACAGATTTTTTTTCCATCTGTAGCATGGACTATTCATCTTCACAAAAGCACAACTTTGAGTTCAAAGAGATTCTTGATATTTTTCAAATAAACACCTGTGAGTGTCATGGCCACTTTGATGCTACACATTAAACAGCCTGAAAGAATCAGTCTGGCTCTCAACCAATCAGTGCTCTCCTGACACAGTCTGTATATCAGCTTGGCAACTGTCATTTACTACATACGCCCTCCACCACTGGCTGTAACGACGGCACTGCTGAGGCAAAATTCTTACTTTAGCTTCAATGGATTTATTAATGTGACAGTGGGAATCAACCCTCAGAGATAAAGATAAAGGAACATCACAGAGCTAATCACTGCTGTGCTCTGACCACGTCTAACCCACTGTTATACCTTCTCTTCTTTGTTGTGCACTCCACTATGAGTGCGTTCACTCATTTCAAATGCACATTCCTTCCAGATAATAAATGCAGATTGAACTCATTACACAGTCCCACTCTCCATTCTCACCCTTTAATGTTTTGGGATAAATGGAAACCTGATAAGAATGGAAACATATTCCAATGCCTCTGTTTGGATGCTGATGAAAGCCGACACCGTCTCCTTTCTTTGTAGCAGGTTCCTCAGGCAGCGGCCCACACCTCTGAGCAGTGCAGAGATGTCCACATCAAAGAATGGTATGCAGCCTAACGCACACCATCAAACATGAGCAACCAACATCTGCAGTTACACAACACCAACGACTACTGTTGCTATTTCCTTTTCACCTACGCCTGTGGAAATCATTGACCTGCTTTGTACATAACCACACTTTCCCCTTTCTTCCCAGGACCCCAAGGCTAGCCTCTGCCTCAGAGGAGCTGCAGGCCTGGGGGCATCACAGGGGGCATACTACTTTGAAGTGGAACGATTAAAGAGGAAAGACGGTGAGAAGACCTGATGAATTGGAATGATGGGGCTAAAGTTGGGAGAGGGGAGGATCAGTGTGAGGGACAGGAAAGGCTGAGAATACTAAGAGCTAAAGGTCCCATGGGACACAATTAAGAACAAGGTTTTTTCTTACTGAGAGTTACATAAACAGTGAAGATATCAGCGGTACAGCCTTCAAACCAAGGTAAGAATTCATTACTACAAACACAGAGGCTGCTGGAGCTTTGCAATTCTCACCAGGTCGTTCTCCGCTAACTCCACTAAGAGTCTATGTGAGCTGACATCCACGTTCACAACATCCACATGAAACCATTACCATCCCACTTAAATCCCAGCAGAGCTCGAGAACCCTGCAGCATACAGCTCACCGACTACGAGAGGTATTAGGATGAAGACCCATACTGGCTGAGGAAAAGGAGGTATGTGTGGTGCTCTACCTCAAAATCGATCAAAACTGAAATATGAAACAGACCAACACAAATGAATGCATAACAAAGTGTTGGTTAAACTGAACCAAACAGGTTTTTGCAATTAAAAAATTCAACAAAGCCGTTACAGATATTAATGTTCTGTAAAATGTTTTCTGCATGAAACTAGATGTAGAAAGATGTGTCCACTTTTGTCCCTGTAAGTCAAACAAGCTGCTTGAACATGTGTTGAGGACACATCTGTGAATGATTTCTCACCAAAGTTCAATTTTGCACAAATACCGCTGAACAGAAGGTTGTTCTGTGTATTTGTTGAAATCAGATTCTGTAGTAAAGGACACTTTGATCATTCCCACAAAGGAACCGCAGAAACCAAAGTGGTCTCACGTTCACCTGGAACGTTTACGAGGAGAGATTGGATCTTAACGTGCCCTCACCTTGAACCTTTTGTCTGTTTAAGACTAATGCATACTAAAACAATACACTCTAACACTCTAAAATACATAACGAGCAATCGTGTCCACCAATCAGCTGATACCAGTAAAAAAAAGAAGAACAAATTTAAATCAGAGATTATTTGTGTTAGCAGGGATTTCAATCTCTCTGAGGCAAATTAGACAAAAGATGTAAATGAAGCTAACTGTGTCTTTTCTAACAGTTCAACATGTGTTAATATGTTTCATAGGTTTTTGGAATTATAAATTGACAAAGAAGTTTTCTCGTTAGAGACATACTTGATGTGTACAAAGGAAACTTTTTCCAAAACAAGCAAGGCCATTTTAAGACCTAGTGCTAGCTAGTTAACTGAAAAGCCACTGTTTATGAAACAAAGATAACATTTATGTAAACAGATAGATACATTGAATTTCTAAGTTTAAGATGTTAATGTGAGGATGTTGTGTTATAACTCTTTATAATGTATAAAATTTCGATTTCAGCCCAATATGCCCCTGTAAATGTGTTCTATTATAATATGATAATATTGTGACCATGCTAAACTTTGGGCCACTTAAATAATCACTTTACAGTGTAAAATGTTGATGAAACATATTTTATGAATAAACATGGGCTCATAGAGCAGAACACTGGAGTCTCTATGATTTGGTGTATGTACAAGTCATTGTAAAGGTAAGAAAAAATCAAATGAATCCCAACAGTAACAACTCTCCACTGTT